CCCTTTGATGCATGACCCATGATATACTGAGTTAAAAAAGATGTTACTAAGTGTTTTTATGTGTTTTTAGACATAAAAATAAGAACTGATTTGGTTCTGTTTTTATACACCAAATTTTCTTTTTGAATGTTGACACAATTATTCTGCAGTTGCAAAGGCTGACCACTGTATGGCAGTGTTGGGTGATTCTCAGGCATCCACTGTAGAGGCTTATATGCAACACTGCCGTCAAAACCTATTCTTATCATGGAAAATGACATTTTCATAGCTGTCCACTGTAGTGATCGTCATGCATGAAAGGGTTAAATTCCAGGGTGTGTGGGTAAAAGGGGCGAGGGGAGGTGTGTAAAAACATTTCTGTCCCTAAGAGGGGGGCGGGGGGGCATGACAGAAAATAATTGACATACACTGATTTAGAGTGTCTGATGTACCTAATCCCCTAATGTACATGGTAATTTTTTTTGCTATAAGGGCAAGCATTCTTTATTTGTCACAGTCTGGCCATTCCGTTACATTATGTTTTATAAAATTAGAAAGGTGATGCTTAAGTCAAGCCTGAGGCCGTCGGTCTTTGCAAGATGGTAAAGAAAAGCGTTTAGTAATTCAACAACGGTACTCGATCGCCATCGGCTATCAGCCGACGTGCGAAGCTCAGGTATAGGTATTAGTATCAGGACTGAAAAAGTCAGATCGCCGTGTCCCTCATCATGACTAACAGTCGTCGTCAGAATAGTATATCATAGAAACACTAGCTCTGTGGCTTGTACTCTCTACGCTGTAACTCTAACTGCAGAGTAGCCTTGTGCCACCTGTTTTGCTACCGATGCTAACATGTGCCGCTGTTATTACATAAAAGAAGAATAAGAATAAAGCAGTCAATAAGAAAGGTGACTACAAACACCATGTAATTTATTTGTACAATGAGAACGGCTTTTATAAGCTTCTGCCAGGACAGAATATACGTACAGTCCCCTCCAAAAGTATTGGAACGGCAAGGTCAATTACTTTGTTTTTGTTGTATATTGAAGACATTTAGGTTTCAGATCAAAAGATGAATATGAGACAAAACTTCAGATGAGTTGTTTAACACATCTAGATGTCAATACCATGAAATAAAGGCTGGACTTCTGAAATCCAAATGTCTTCAGTATACAACGGAAACAAAGGAACTGACCTTGCCGTTCCAATACTTTTGGAGGGGACTGTAACTATCCATAAACAAAGAAGAACGGAACCATTATATGAAAAAAGGTGCAGCAAATTCACAAGTGTTTATTTCAGCCGAGAATCCCACCGCCCTGCTGTCACAGGTACACCAATTATACCTGCTGACGTGAAGTGAAAAGGACAGCTGTATTTCGACTGCTTTTTTTTTTTTTTCTAGGATCATAACAACAAAGTATAGTCCAGTAGCAATTGCTTTAACTTTAAGCAGAACCGCTACAATGTGTTGCTGGGTGCAAGGTATGCCTTCACAATGTTGGCCATGGGGACTACAGTTGGCAAAAGAGGAGAAAGAAATCTCAGACCAACCATTCTGCCAACCACTGATCTGCAAAGCTTGCGTCTTTGCAGTAGCATGTGTTCCCGAGTATAGACATATAAAAATGATGAGTTTCCCCTCCATCTCTAATTCTCCTGGTTGTTGTTGTGCACCGTGTTTTTTTGCGGATCTCCTTTAACATTAATTATGTATCGAGCTCTAACTAATGTACTGCCACCTTTCTCTGTTGAATAGCAGACCTACACGTACCACGCTGTGCACGCAGGTGAGTTGAGAACGCCCCTGGTGATGTCGAATTACTGCCCAGATAACGGCACCACTTGCTGCACAAATGCAGACACGACAGGTTTGTGTGTAGGTGATTGCGTGACATAAGACTCGAGGCTTCTTCACCTTGTCTTAACGCAGATACATTTTTTATAATACTACAGTATAAATAGTTTTAAAACCTCAATTCTTTAACAACGCCTCCGTAGGCCACCTCCGCAGAAGAACCATTAACCTTTGTGTTTGCGATAACCCTGTGAACGGCGTTATGCGACCAAGATTTACTAGGTTGGCCACGAATAACCACAACTCAAGTGACAGTTATTGGACTTTTTCCCGTCTGTCTGTAATATTCTAGTGGATGAAACAACTTGCAGGAAAAACATAAGCAGCAATGGCCACGTATCCACACAAACCATCAGAGACTGACACCGAATAAATAATGGCATCTATTGTGTGGAACTTTGATTTTTTTTTTTTTTTTCTGACAATTGGCCCTTTATTCCTGAAGAGATTCAACAAGAATTGAATCTCTAGAACAACACTAGAGGAGGTCCTTAATAACTACCCGTTTCAGTTTCAATACACATTGCTGTAAGCACAATAATTATGCAATAAAAAAAAACACTATGGCATTTACAACAAAATAGTTTTCAAGAATAGAATTAATAATGGGGAGAAATGTGAAAAGCTAGTGAGAGTGCTATGTAAGAAACAGGATTTCCAATCATTTACATTCACTTTAATTTTAGTTACTTGTTGTTGCTATTCATTTTCAACCTGTAAATGAAACCAACTTTTCTACCTTATTAGGTTTTAAGACTTCGGTGTGATTGTTGTGCTCGTTATTTTATGTACAAATCTAAAATATAAATCAAACATGCAAAAAAAAACAAACAAAAAACCCTTCTCTACCTCTCCTTGGAAAATTAAACAGAACTGACTTGAAAGTGCAGTTAATATCAGTGAAGCAGTACACCGACATGGACAGGTGACAGATGAGAGAACGCACCATTACACAACACGTGTACCTCCCTTTCCAAAGAACTATGATTGAAAGCAGCTGACAACAAGAGTTCACGGACAAAAAAAAAAAGACAAAGGCTAGATGCCAAAACTAACGCACTAAGAATTGGACAATCACCATATGCGTGAGTTGTCTGACCAAGCAATGCTAGCTCTACCTTAGCAGTACCTGTAGCCACTAGTGATGTTCGATACCACCAATTTCCTTTCCGATCCGATACCGAGTAAAATTCGGGCTGGTATCGCCGATACCGATATCGATACCAATATTTTATCATTTGTCTTTAAGACTAGCTGCCTCATTTACTATACAGTCAACACAACAATAGAAAAACCTGAGAACACAATCATATAAAATATGTCAAAACAATGTTTCAAACTCTGAAAATATGTTATTTGTAAAACAAAAATAAAAAATAAATAATCTGAGGAGCCATTTGGGACCCGAAAGAGTCGGATTTTTTCAGTGAACCGAGCCAAAAGAACCGGTTCTCTAAAAAA